ACACACACACACATAACCTGCTGTTGAACTGGCAACCTGTAGCATGTAAACGGATGACAGATTACACTGGCTGACCAGATGAGTGTGTGTGTGTGTGTGTGTGTGTGTGCGCGTTATGGGGTCTGATTGGGGCTCTGATCACTCCACGGACTCAGCTGAGCCCCGCCAGTAAATCACACACACACATACACACACACACATACACACACACACACACACGTACACACACACATACACGTACACGGCTTCCCTCAATCTCCGACAACAACACACCCTGATTAGTCTCATCCGACAGTCGCTAATGAAGTCTAATTAATGAGGACTGTGTGTGTGTGTGTGTGTGTATTGTACTTAGAAGCCAGCTGCCCCTCCCCCCCTCCACCACCCCCTTGGGAAATCTTCCCCTCTTTCTCTCTCTCTTTTACTGTCTTTATTCCTCGCTCGCTCAGAGCTCTCACCCCCGTGTCCCCTTTTTCATCCTGGACTTTCTCTCTCGCTCTCCATCTTTCTTTCATTCTGTCTCTCCCTTGCGTCCATCCCTCTTTGTCTTTGTCCTTCTCTGCTTCTGTTTCACTTTCCTTCCTACTATCTCAGATCTTTTCCTCCCCTGCTGTTGCTTTTCTTTTTGTTTACATTTCTCTCCGCCTACTCAGCTGACCTTCTGTAAGTACACACGAAGCACGCTGTCTAACTTCCATTTGGTTCAGTGGTAATGAAAATGATGTGTTTGAGGCTCTTTTACCAGCCACGATGAGCAGTGTGTTTCAAGTGATTTCACCATCGAACTAGTAACCAAAACATCCCCAGCAAAAATCATGCAATTATGAGAGCTGTTGGGCCAAATTATAAATTCTGAAAACCTTATACGTGATTCCCTGCGTGTTGACTGGAGCCCAGCAGGAGAGAAGCTCCGTGGCGCGTGGACACTTTTACTTTCTCTGGCATTAATGTCGCCCTCTGATCTGAATCAGATTTCCGAATAGTTTGTACATCCTGCTTGTAAATTTCAGTCATATAATTCCACAGCCACCACAGGGCGTCTCTCATACTGGTCTGCTGACAGCACATGTAAATCATGTGACTCAGGCTAACATGGGAATTAAGTGTGGCACTGAACTGGAAAAAAGGAAAAAATAGTGAAATGTTTAACAGTAATAATGGGCAATGATATGACAAATTTCTGAGAAGGGTACACCCCTATAAGTTTAATGCCAGAAGTGAATGAGAGTAGCATTAATCAGATTTTCTCTGGAAAAAGGCAACTGCCATTGTTAGTACCATATCATTAAGGCCCATGTCATTTCCTAACTGAAAAAAGTGGATTCAGTGTCAAGACTTTCCATTGAAGGAAGAGATGACCACCTTGGAGGCTGAAGGAGTGGAAAAAGATAAAGAAAACAGGAGTGATGTGAAGAGAAACTGAGAGGAAAGAGAGCGGGAGGAGGAAGGATGAGATGAAGATGTGCAGTGTGTGTGTGTGTGTGTGTGTGTGTGTGGTAGCTGGTTAACCTTGGTGGGTTTCATTAGTGGCCCAAGGCCAGCAGGCCGAGGATGAATTAGGAGGCCGGGGGCCACAAATTTATCCTGGACAAGGCCTTCTCTGATTAAACCTGCTGGACACACACACGGGCGCGCACAGACACACACACACACACACACACACACACACGCACAAATGGAAAGGTAAACACATTCACACATTGACAAAAATGGACAAAAGATATCACACGCATTAGAGTGAACATACGACCTGAATTCAAAAAGCACATAAACATTAAGCAAACAAATATGGGCTGACACACACAAATACACCCCCCCACACACACACACACACACACACTTACACATTGACACAAGGAATAATCTGCAGGGAGTTCATCGTCTAAATACTCCTCAGTTCCTACCAATCGGTCACATATGGGACCCTCAGACCACACGTGCACATCAACGGGTCTGTGTTTGTGTGTGTATATATGGTTGTGTGTGTGTGTGTAAGAGAGAGTTCACCTTCACCCACGGTGACAGAAAGTGTCAGAAAGCCCAAAAGCCGGCAGTAAAGCGTAAAGCGATCACACCGGCTTTACCAATAAAAACACACCAATCGAGAGTTGTTGCTGCTTCGTGTTCGCTCTCTCTGCCCGGAGGACGATTTATAAGTCACGCAGAGTTCGTTGAGTTCGTTGAGTTCGTCCCCTGAGCCCAGGTCCCCCACCTGCCCACTGAGACCCTTGGGAGACGCCCTTGACAAGGGATCATCCCCCTGTTGCTGTCTTCTAACCTCACCCATTGGAGGATTTTCAGTGTTTGGACACATTTTGCTTTATATATATTACGTCTGCGTTTGCTCTGGAAATCTCTGATTTTGTTTGAAAATGTAAATAAAAGTAAACTTTTGACTGACCCATAAAAAATATGCCACATAGCTCCATTGCGCTCTACATTGTAATCTTATTTCTCTAAAAACATGGAAAATTACTTCATATTGTAGTGTGTTTTATTTTATTTGTACTGGACCACAAACTACATTAAACATAATGTATGCTGTCATTTGATGTATTATACCAAAGTTAGCTTAGAGCTAATCTTCTTTTTTTTGTCTTATCCTGTCACTTCTTTACAATTTTGTGATTTATGACAGAATGCATCATTATGAATGACTTAAGTGTAAAAAAAACCATCTACCATCAAGTCATCAACCTTTACACTCATGGCACATTGCATAATGCATACTTTGAAACGTGTGGAGATTATAAAACCGGCCGAAGGTCATCATCTACCGCCTCTTCACCCCCACCCCTCCACCCACCCAGTGTAATCTGGCGGAGGAAGGGTCAGCGAGTTCTTGGGACAGTTCATCGGGTGACTGAGGTCACTCTTCTCAACCTTTAGGGCGATATTAACCTGCTAATACCCAAACCAGAGCCTTAACCCTGCAAGGTCAGGGCGACTTTCAGCATCTTTACATGGAAGACACACACACACACAAACACTCCCGTAGACAAACTATGCATTTGTACACACACATCAACATATAGGCTTGTGGAGGCCCCTAAGTATTGGGTTCCTCGAGATCTTCCAGGTTAAGCAGATCATGGTTGGTTGGTCTGATCCATACTGGGTTGAAGAGGAAGTGCATCGGCTGGCCTTTCTCCCAGCTGGAACTGGTCACTGTCGGGTTAATCACTTCATAAATTCTCTGCTTCTCTTATGTAAGAACTGTGTTAACATTCAGTTCAACAGAGTGCTTTTCAGATGAAATCGAGGAGGGTCGAGAAGGGTTATGGCTCTTCAGGCAATGTAAAAATAATAATTACAAAAGAGGACAGTACAGGAAACATTTGAGGATTCAAGTGAAATACGTGTGTGAGATGTTGTTTATGAATAAGGAGTGTGCTCCAATTGCAGTATGAAGTGCAACGAACTTTACTTTCCAAATACAGAAAGTCATTTGTTTTATGTCGGTCCAGTCCTTAATGAACACAGTGAACTGCATGTGGAGCCTTTGATGAAACACAACAAATCAATGTGAGACGCATCTGTCTCTTGTGTTTATCACTCATCAAAATGTCAGAAACAAATGATCTGGAAGACAAAGTTGTTTAACCCTCTGAGGAGCAAACGAGTGTTGAGTGGATCTTGTTCAAAACCTTGAAGAAATATAGTTTGTAGATTTTGCTGAAGAGGAACTTTTATACATCAAATTTAGTTTACTAGTCACGATTAGTGAAGATGACTGTGGTGGTAGTCAAGTGTGAGAAAGTTATTTGCTTGGAGACTATTTTTTAACAGGAAACCTTCAATTGCAAACCTTTAAAAGCATGGAATGCCTAATTAAAGACCACAGTAAATTGGTGGTTAGAGCATCGTTAGGTGTCTTGGCTTAATGAGAATGAGTTCCTGGAGAATATGTAGTATTGTGGAGCTATGGAGGACTTTCAACCTCCATCCACACCTCCCTTACCACTTGCTGTTAGATATCGAGATAAAGGGTAGCAAGAAATTATATTACCGGTATATGAAATATATATAAAATATTGACCTGTTCTTTTGGAAATGTAAACATTTCTGTCATTTTGAGATCCAAACTCTAATCCTCTAACCCATTAAATTCCTTAACAACAACCCACAATAGCCCAACCCCTACATTTGGGCCATATCTGGACCACATTGCCGTTGTGTGCTCTGAGTTGACCATCTTCAGTTTACCTCACTGAGTTGCAACTGCTCATTCATTATTTCATCATATATATATATACCACAAACTACCACAAAATACCACAAAAAAATATTTGTTTGCTGCTATAGTCATCTTTAAAATCTCACACATATTATTATATAAATTAAAGGTTAGTATATATATACACATATATATATATAACATAATAATTTTTTAAAATAACTTTTACTAAACTAAATAAACTTTCCAGAATTCATTCTTGCCGTTTTTCATAACCATTTTTGTTAATAAACAACATTTGATAATTGTGGTTTTTCAACATCACCTTTTTTTTATTTACAACATAAAACTATCAAAACAATTAATTTTAATCAAATTTTATTTATATAAAATGATAAAATAAGTGATCTCAGAAAAATGTTAATATAAAAAAAACATAATAGATAATACTCCCGTAATAATATATATATAAAAACTTCCTTTTAAGAGGCAAAAACCTAGAGCAGATCCCGGCTCGAGGTGGGTGGCCATCTGCCTCGACCAGTTTGAATTGTACATCCTTAAAGTTGTTTAAAGTTGAGTGGAGCTAGGCTAATTGTCCCTTCTTGCTTCGATAGCTGCATATGAATTACTGTTTCGTCTGCTTGCTGTTCAGGTCCACCTTCCAGACTTCAAGACTTGTTCCCTGCTGAGAGGGAAACAAACGGACATAAGTTATGTGAATTTTACTCAGGAGACAGCATTCTAACAAAAAAATAAAATATTTAAGTTCCTTCACAATCTAAATTACGTTAACTTAACTGATGTAATTAAATTTCTGTTATCTTTTACATTGAAGAGACCAGGTTGGTAACTTATATAAAATGGGTGGGTAAGCCACATTGAGTAAATATTTGAGACATTTTAATTTTAATTTTAATTTTGATAAATTTTAGATAATTTTCATAAAAGCAGCAAAAAACATGTGTTGTAGTGGTCGCAGGTGCTGCTTTCCTGCGCCGTTTTTGGCCCTGTCATTGGTCTTGTAGTTGGTCTTTTCGCAGATCCTGTCATTGGTCCTCTGGTCCTCTAAAGCTGCCTCTCATAGAACAGCAGGTAGGCAGTTCTTTGTCGCAGGTGACAGACAGAATCGATGGCTGTCTCACTGACCGCACTGTCGTTGTAAGTCAGCCAACGAACTGTCATGTCACCCGGCTCCAGCTGTCTGTGAGCGCCATCACAAATGTAGTGACCTGAAAGGAGAGGACATTTGTTAACGGTATCTGAAGAGGCAGTCGGCTCTTAAACCTCAAAAAACTAATTTTAAACATGTAGGGCTGCCAAACGCAACGCAACACTTACCAGAATGAGCTGTGGAGCCCAAATGGCTGACGACGCTCACGAGAGAGTAGTGAGTCTAGAAAAGAACATAGGTACCAACAATTAGTGCCATGTGCAGACACATTCAGTTTGACTGTATAGTTGACAGGCTGGTTCCTGGACCTGTGTTTTTTAAATTAACATTATCTTTACCTGTTTGGCGGTGCTGGATTCGGCAATCACCACTAGCTCCTTTGGTAGGACAACAGGGCTGTTCATTTTCTCCAGGTTGAAAGACTTGGTGAACCTGAATCGCTGCAGCTGCAGGATCAGTACACTGTGGACAGCAAATCGGTGGAGGAGGAAGAGATGGAGAGTCAGATCACGAGTTTACATTGGAAGACAGAAGTTGGCAAAGTGTGACTGTGCTGACTGCACTGTAGTGATGGATAATATTACTCACTTGGGATGAGTCAAAAAGGAGGACTGCTGCAGCGACTCCTCAGCACCGCACTCGCATCTGTAGTCCAAGTGGCGTTGCTGCAGTGGGGAAGAGAAGCAAGAGGCAGTTTTTAGTTTCAACCTTCTCATGGATCATATCAAAATCACTTTGACAAACATATTCGCACAAACTCACAACTTTTGTTTGAGTGTGAGAATGGAGTGTTCTCTGAGCAAATACATATGAATAGATGTGACACTTACTTTCAGGTACTCCTGAAGGAACTCACTCACAGAGCCTCCAGGCACCAGGTCCAGGGAGAGGTTTATATAATCCTCCTCCCTCATGGATTGCATACCACATCTGCATAATAAAGGGACAATTCAACTTAAACATTTGCAACATGGGAATTGCTACACCAGTTGTTGGCCCACCATGCTTGTAGGACCCCTAATTATTATTTTCATTAGCATGGTGGGCAGAGTTACACTTTTGCACAGGAAGTCAGTCAATCAAGGAAACTTGGGATCCTAATGCTATTTTGCATCTTAACAATACAATAGGTGTTTGCTTTTGGCTTGTGGCCCAATTTAGGGAAATATTCTTGGTGTATCTGCTCTACACTATAAGAATTAAACAGTGTGTGGCTGTGTATACATACCCCTTGCAGGTCCTGGTGCTCAGCATCTGAAAAGCAATGTGAGCGTTGACAGGGCAGGTGTAGCTCATGCCCATGTCAACTGCCGCCGCATCCAGATGCAGAGACAGAGACCTCAGCCTGTCCAGAACACAGCTGAGGAACTCATGGGCGTCCTGCACAGAAACATATAAAACAAAGAGTTTTAGAAGGTGGACATTTGACTAAAAATAGTTCAGTGAAGATCAGCTGTGTGTGTAAATGAAAAGCGTACTAACCTTCTGACTGTCGTCTTTAAACTCTGAGTTAAACTCAGCAACAGTCTGTTTAAAGGCAAACAGGACACCTCTCTTCTCCCTTTCATTACTGGAGAAGCGGCAGACTCTGACATCCACAAACCCACTGGAAAGAGCAAAAGCAAAAGACGCAAGACAAAAGAAAGATACATATTTTTAGATTTTGTTCATTCATGTTGACCTGCAGAGTTAGCAAAGAAACCTAAGTGTTATCTGTGTGAGTGAGTGTAAAGGTACTTCACCTGATGAGTTGAGAGGTAGGTACAGAACTCCAAACCTGCTGCTGGCTGTGTACCTCCAGAACAAATGGACGCAGTGTCAGAAGGCCTTGCAGGGTGGAATTCATATAACACGTCTGTGCTAGGTTGGGGAACCTTAAACACAACAAGACAAAAGTCAGACTTTTCTTCAAAAACACTACAAGAACATTCAGTGTGTGTATTTGAGTCTCTCTGCAAGTGCTTACCCTAGGCAGACTAGCTCCTCTCTGGAGATCTGTCCAGTGTTGCTGGTTGATGGCAACAGATCTTGAATTGACGCAAGCAGATCAATGGCCGAGTCGCCGCTTTGACTCCCGCCGCGTCCTCGCCTGGATACAGGTGCGGCAGGGGGGAGGTCACTGATCACATCTATGTCAGCCTTGATGGTTGTGACCTCAGACGAAGGGCTTCTCTCTTCTCCATCTGTCTCAACAGGAGATGCTGACTTCTGTTTCTGTTTGATGTACGTATGGAAAAACAGTTAAATCCAGCAAAATAAACTACATGAGTGACGCTTATATTAACATGCAGAATCTACGTGGTTCTGTAAGAGTTGTAACAGCTTCTAACACTCGCAACATTCAGCCCTGTGGAACATACCTTGCGGCGAGGCCAAAACCACCGACGCCACCAAGGTCTCTTCTTTTTCTTTTTAGTCTCAGAAACAACGGAGACTGGAGTGTCAGGGGTGGATGAAGCTTCCTGGACAACAACTAATCCACCCTCAGAATCCTGGACGTTGTCAAAACTGGTGATAAAGGGAAACACAGATGTTATTCTACTGTAAAGTCCAGTCACAGTGATGGATCCAAGGGGGGAACAACACACAGTAAAAAGAATGGTGAAGCTAGTTTTAACTATTCAGTACACAGTTAGGTAGTTTAGCCCAGTGGTTTCCAACATAGGTCAATTTTAGAGTGAGATTGTGATCTAAGTCGTCCACAATCTACTTTTTAGGTGAACCATAGATATTGAGTTATGTAAAGTCTTCTATCAATTGATATTAAGTAAAATATAATTGATTTGAAGAGGTGTAATAGACAGTTAAAGAATCTCATACCTCTCCTCTGTGGCAGAAGACAGCAGGTTTGTGTCCTCTGCCACGTCTTCTTCAGGGTTCAGCTCAGTTGTAGCTGAGACCTGAGGGTCTGGGGTGGACGAAGGCTCCTGGACAGCTTCTCCATCCTCAGATCCCAGGATGGTGTCGACACTGGTGATAAAGGGAAACACAGATGTTATTGCATTGTATGGTCCAGTCACAGTTATGAAATGATTAAAGGGGTAGGAAAGAATAAGAAATTCTACCACAAAAATCTGCATATATTTTAATTTGTGTTTTTTGTGAAATACTGAATTAAGGATTAGTAGAGTATAATTAGTTAGAAGAGATGTAATAGACAGTAAAATAATATCATACCTCTCCTCTGTGGCAAAAGACGACAGGTCTTCTGCCACGTCTTCTTCTTCAGGGTTCAGCTCAGTTGTAGCTGAGACCTGAGGGTCTGGGGTGGACGAAGGCTCCTGGACAGCTTCTCCATCCTCAGATCTCAGGATGGTGTCGACACTGGCAATAAAGGGAAACACTGACGTTATTGCATTTTATGGTCCAGTCACAGTTATGAAAATATTTCAGATTGAACTCAAACTCAACACAAAGCTGTAAGTCGGTGGTAGACAAAGTATTTAGATCCTTTAATTAAGTTAAAGTACACATATAGAATTGTAAAAATAGTCTATTACAAGTAAAATGGACATGTTATAGACAGTAAAAGAATCTCATACCTCTCCTCTGTGGCAGAAGATGGCAGGTTTGTGTCCTCTGCCATGTCTTCTTCTTCAGGGTTCAGCTCATTTCCAGCTGAGACCTGACGGTCCGGGGTGGACGAAGCCTCCTGGACAGCTTCTCCACCCTCAGACTCAACGGTGTTGTCGACTCTGGTGATAAAGGGAAACACAAATGTTTTTGCATTGTATGGTCCTGTCACTGTTATGAAAATATTTCAGATTGAACTCAACTCAACACAAAGCTGTAAGTCAGTGGTACACAAAGTATTCAGATCCTTTAATTAAGTTAAAGTACACATATACAATTGTAAGAATAGTTTGTTACAAGTAAAATTGTTAAATTCAAAATCATGCTTGCTAAAACTACAGAAATATTATCCCAACATAGGGGTTGAGCCCCTCATATGGGGTCACAAGATAAATCTAAGGGGTCTTGAGATGATTAAAGGGGTAGGAAACAATAAAAATCTCTGCTACAAAATCTGCATTCATTTTTTTGAAACTTTCTGGACTCTTCCCTCCTCTTTGTTTTTTTGTGAAATACTTCATTGAGGATTAGTAGAATATAATTGGTTATAAGAGGTGTAATAGACAGAAAAATAATCTCATACCTCTCCTCTGTGGTTGAAGACCGCAGGTTTGTGTCCTCTGCCACCTCTTCTTCTTTAGGCTGCAGCTCAGTTCCAGCTGAGACCTGAGGGTCTGGGGTGGACGAAGCCTCCTGGACAGCTTCTCCATCCTTAGATCCCAGGATGGTGTCGACACTGGTGATAAAGGGAAACACAGATGTTATTGCATTGTATGGTCCAGTCACAGTTATGAAATGATTAAAGGGGTAGGAAAGAATAAGAAATTCTACCACAAAAATCTGCATATATTTTAATTTGTGTTTTTTGTGAAATACTGAATTAAGGATTAGTAGAGTATAATTAGTTAGAAGAGATGTAATAGACAGTAAAATAATATCATACCTCTCCTCTGTGGCAAAAGACGACAGGTCTTCTGCCACGTCTTCTTCTTCAGAGTTCAGCTCAGTTGTAGCAGAGACCTGAGGGTCTGGGGTGGACGAAGGCTCCTGGACAGCTTCTCCATCCTCAGATCTCAGGATGGTGTCGACACTGGTGATAAAGGGAAACACAGATGTTATTGCATTTTATGGTCCAGTCACAGTTATGAAAATATTTCAGATTTAACTCAAACTCAACACAAAGCTGTAAGTCGGTGGTAGACAAAGTATTCAGATCCTTTAATTAAGTTAAAGTAGACATATACAATTGTAAAAATAGTCTATTACAAGTAAGATTGACATGTTATAGACAGTAAAAGAATCTCATACCTCTCCTCTGTGGCAGAAGACAGCAGGTTTGTGTCCTCTGCCACGTCTTCTTCCTCAGGGTTCAGCTCAGTTCCAGCTGAGACCTGACGGTCCGGGGTGGACGAAGTATCCTGGACAGCTTCTTCACCCTCAGACTGGGCCGTGTAGTCGACACTGGTGACAAAGGGAAACACGGATGTAATTGCATTGTATAATCCAGTCACAGTTATGATAATATTTCAGATTGAATTCAAACTCAACACAAAGCTGTAAGTCAGTGGTACACAAAGTATTCAGATCATATAATTAAGTTAAAGTACACATATACAATTGTAAAAATAGTCTATTACAAGTAAAATGGACATGTTATAGACAGTAAAAGAATCTCATACCTCTCCTCTGTGGCAGAAGACAGCAGGTTTGTGTCCTCTGCCACGTCTTCTTCCTCAGGGTTCAGCTCAGTTCCAGCTGAGACCTGAGGGTCCGGGGTGGACGAAGCCTCCGGGACAGCTTCTCCACCCTCAGACACAACATTGTAGTCCACACTGGTGATAAAGGGAAACACAGATGTTATTTTACTGTATGGTCCAATCACAGTGATTAATCCAACATAAAATGAGCACCAATATAATATATTGAATCCAAAATAATCTCTTACCTTCTTTCTGAAGGAGAAGATGGGAGGTTTGTCTCTTCAGCCACATCTTCTTTTTCAGGAGTCAACTGTTTGGTTTTCTGATGAGTATAAAAACATAAAACCAGTTAAACACAACTAAGACAGAAACAGATTAATGCAACATTTTTTCCAGTGGTTTTACTTGCAATATTCAGCTTTGATAAACATACCTTCTTAGGACACCACTTACGCCACCAGGAAGTCTTTTTATCCTTCCTTTTTGGAGCCTCAGTTGGGGCTGAAAAAGGGGTGGCAGTGGTGGCTGGAGTGTCGGGGACCACAGGGTCTTTAATTGGGTCCTCCTTAATAGTGACACTGGTAATAAAGAGAAAATACAGAGGATTATTCAACTGTGTACTGCAGTCCAAATTCCCTAAATGCCAATTAATTTGGACTTGGAATTTGTTTTAGGAAACACAATTATAACGTGAAATATTTGGACAAATATTAGACAATTATGACAAAAAGTGTGAGCGTGTATCTGTAAAGCCTGACAGATACAGATCAATTATAAGAATACATACAACAGCATACAAGATCCATTTAATAGTAAAATAAATAAATAATGAGAATACATTTATGAGCCGTTAACTTGCCTCTTTTGTGGGCTGGAGCGCCTCTTGTCTCCAACTTCCACTTCAAGCAGATTGCTTTTCTGTTGAAAATATATAAAACCATATATGATTAAACATGACGGAAACATAATCAGTTGCTTCACAGAGAAATATCAACAAAACCCTGAAGGCAAAAGTCAGAGTCAGTCCTCTCATTGCACAAGGTCAAACTAACTGTTCCACAAAACGAAATCAGGCGCATACCATCGGTCGCTTGCGTGGGAAGCAAAACATCCTGGCAGTGATCGGTTTTCTAAATGTTCTCAATACTGTGTCTACTTTTTACAAAGTTGACAAGAACCTTCTCTATCCGGCTGTGATATCAAAGATTTAGAAAATATGATTATCTGCTCCTATAAGGCAATGAGCATTCTTCTTTAGAATGCAGTTTAGAAATTTAGATGTATTTTGTCATCATACGGAATCATATGTAATAAAGATTGGAATTCACATAAATTAGAATCAGGCAGTTAGAATAAAAAAAAATAAAAAAACAAGCAGATAAAAATATGGTATTTATGGAAATTACTGGAAATAAAGAAATCACACTGTCATGTTTAGACCTACTGTAAAAGTCCCTGAAGCAGTGGGTTATTGCAGTTCCCCAAGACAGAAATATTCCTGTCCATCTTAAATTCAGGCAATATATTTCAGTGAACGTATAGTTGGTTAACTTACCTACTTTGATATTTCACATCCCATCCAGCCCACTGAATCCTTGTGTTTTCATAGGTAAAGCAGACAGTAGGAATCATCTCATCCAGTGATACACACCTCTGAAATTACATTTCAACAACAATAAGCTAGCATAGCACAGTTGCAAAGCATATTGCAGGTGATGACTGAATCTATAAAATGACCCAAAATGCTTTATTTCACAGTAAACATTCATTAATTTACTTAATTACCCTGAATAAAATGTTATTGGATGAAATGATGTATATGCCACCCAGTCATGGACTTTTAATATAAATACTTGAAGAATATCATATTAAGATAAGAACAATAAACGTGGGAACACAGGGTAAAAACATGGAAAATGTTGATTTAATCTCATTGGGATTTTCATTTAAATGAGCACAAACATAAAAATAAGAAAATTGTAGTTTTCTGTTCGAGTGATTAATACACAATGAAGTATCAGCATTATTTTGTTAATGTATTTGATTTTTTCTTCTTCTGCTTCTCAATGGAACGCCTGCATTTAATCAGTTCATTAATTTATTTCAAGCTTACAGGAACATTTTTGGGTTGTAGCGGCAGTTAAGAAAATCAAAAAACAAAACAGAAACGTAGCACTCAATAACTTTTTACATTTCAAATATGATAAATAATGAATATTATGATACTTTTAGGCTCAACTCTGCATGAATTGATATATTGCATGGATTAGAGGAATTGTTTTTGATTGTTTGCACGTTTCTTTTTGAAGAGTAATAGCAGCAGAACTAGTTTCTGCAGAACTAGATTGTTAGTGATCAATTTGATTAAATACCCAGAACTTCTTGGGAACTTGTTGGTCAAATACAAACCAGGTTTGGGGACATGGGTAATATTTCTGAACCACTTTACTTTTAATCCCATCCTCATGTGGATTTATAGCCTCTTTGTTGTTGGATGTTGCATTAAAGAACATCAAAAGAGAAAAAAGCCCATCAATCTCACACACTTTCCCTCTGTGTCTCTTTTTATTAGTGTCTTGTCTTTTACCATCTCTCTCTTTTCCAAATACACACACCGAGTGAAAGACACACTGTACAGGTCGGGAGCGTTTGATTTATCCTGCTAAGTTTCCTCCATGGCTCATTTTCATAAATCACATGTCAGTGTGTTTGTAGCCAGAGGGACGTTAACAAGAGGCCACAGTCCAAACACAGAGCGCATAAAAACCCTGAAAACACTCCCGACACACAGCGCCAACCGGCTCTACGGCCACATCCATCATCGCAGAGAGGAGGTCGGAAAATTTCTTGTGGAGACGGCGAGGAAATGTTTTGTCATCTGAAGAGCGCTGATGAAAGAAAGCGTGTGTGTGTTTGAAGTGTGTTTGTGTCTTCCACTTTCTCAAGTTGGACCACATGCAGAGCTGAGGGAGGGCCAGCGAGTTCAGCCGAAATCTTTTCCAGGGTGTGTTTGCTTACCGTGGAGTGTACACACACAACATGCACACAAGTCCTCTGGGGTAAAAGTTCACATACACTCAGGGTTAGGGTTCGGGCGGCGGTCGTCGTTTCCATGGAAACAGCCACTTAGACGCTCCTTCCTGTGTTGTTGTCCTGAAGGCGCAGTGGCTGTTTGTGTGTGTGAGAATGTGTTTCCCACGGTGCTGTGATTGAATCAGCCTAAGATACTATCTACTGTCCTCCCATCCCCCCTCCTGTTTACTAAGCACTTCCTCTCTGGCCTCAGGGGTCAGAGGTCACCCTGTAAACCGGGACTGGAGTCTGGCCTTGAGTTTGGCCTGGACTGGTTTTACATGAAAAGTCCAGTCGCTGCTTTTTAAAGTTCTCAAACAAAGATCTGAAGATGCAGACGCTCTGCTGAATGTCTTGAATGCAGTAAATCAACTAATTGAGCGCTTTGAGGCCATTTAGTCCAGTAGTTCCCAACCTTTATGGCTTGATGCCCCTCAAAACAAAGCAGTGTCTACTTTCCACCCATAGAACAAGAACAAAAGCAACAATTTAAGAAAAATCTGAAAAATGTGTTCCGTCTCTCTTAGATTTATCTGATGTTGTTCGGGAACTTCGCATTTAGCCCGATCTTATGAGGCCGTATTAACAGCTGTTTTGTCTGTAAAATCCTTTCTACTTTCTGTTACTATTAATAGATTTCAACCCTTTTAAACCCAAACATTTACTCCCTTTATTTGCTTGCTTATGACATGTCACTGCATGTTTTATGCCAGAGACTGTTATTTTCAGGATAAGAAAAACAACGTTTTACAGCACTGTGGAGGTTGGCTGGTGTTGCTGTTGCTCTACACTGATAGTTGTTTCTATTTTGCTGTACATCTAATTTATGAAAGTGAGGATAGGCTAAATAACCAAAAGGGTATGCACTTCAGTTTGAGGTTAGGTCATCTTTATGCAGGGTAAAGCATAAAGTGTGTTTCAGACACTTCTTCAGCATGTCTTCCTTCCGCATGACACTCGCTTTGCCTTTTTTATCTAGCTCTTAAGTTTACCAAGAAGACCCCTCCAATAGCGTGTTAGACTTTATAGATAACATAATGTGTCTTTCTAGGATTGATTACACACAATCACAAGCACTGTTCCCCACAGGAGCTGTTCTGTGGCCCTGAGCAGTGTCAACATCTTGACTTATTAACTGCCTCTGTGACAGATGTGTGTGTGTGTGTGTGTGTGTGTGTGTGTGGCTTTGATTGTAGTCCGCGTTTTTCCGATTAGCGTTAGAAAATCCCTCCTTTCCCGAGAGACAAGCTGTCAACTCAGAGAGAGAAAAAAGATAGAAAAGTGGAGAAGGAAAAAGAGGAGGAATGAAGGAGAACGTGGGGAAGGACAGCAAAAGAAAAGGGAAGGAGGAGGAAGGTGGAGGACGAATGACGGAAAGTGAAAAGGAGAGAGCGAGAGAAAAAAGGACAGGTGGCAGAAAGAGGGAGAAAGGCACATGAAGAAAGAAATAGAAAAAATTAGATGCTAAAAGAAAGAGAAAGGAGAGAGGTTGAGAAGGAGTTTGCATAATAGAGGAATGACAAAGATCTACATATCGTCAGACCCAAAGGCGGAGACACAAATTGGAATTATTGGGCTGATTAGACAGAATTTGGCCACCAGGGATCATTCATTCATGTTAATTTGAAACACAAAGAGGAAATTGTGTCCTAAAAGATTTCTCTTTGGAAGATATCCACTTGATTTCTCCAATTAAGACTGCTGATGCTTCAAATTAGCTTTGTCTGAACTTGAATGTAAGGTTGCACAGAACACTGTAGATTTTGTCTTCCAGCACTGTAATGCTTCTAATGTACATCTAACCTGACAGATGGTTTGTTACATAGAACTGTTATTGGGAGCTGTTTGGAAAAGGGCAGGCACTTTCTTATGCAGGATTGGATGAACCATTGGTCTAGCACCACCTATCACAGGCGAACTTCAACCTATGAGATCAACAAACCATATGGCGTAGTCAAACTCTTAACAAAGCCAGTCGGGAGAAGACCGGAAACATCTATTTGACAAATACCTTCGGTGCCGTTCTTTGCTCTTGTTTCAATAAAGAAATACTCTCCAGTTCTGATATAACTGATCCTAGCAGCATCTAGGCTAACCTCTATGGGAGTCCCCTTACTGCACCCCCCACATGATTTCATGATTTTGTGATCTTGCAAGCAGCTGCCTGGCAATGTTAATGTATATATTGCCATGTTAGCATCGCTTTATGATAGATTCAAAACACTGTGAACCTGCCCTTTATGGTCTTCTAAATGTATGTTTAAAAGACCCACAGATAATGTAAAGACACATGATGACTGTTTATTTGAGATAAAACATTAAACATGTCCTGTAGCGTCAAAACCAAGAGAAATGTGAAATAAAGAGAGTAGAAAGTGATGGAGAGGCGAGAAAAGAAAGCACAAAGAAAGTATATAAGAGAGAAAGAGACAGCAATAAAGATGAGAACTGATATATAAACAGAAAGAAAAAGAGGAAGTGATACAGAGATAAAAGAGGGAGAATGTATCCTCAAATACAAGACTTCCTTAGAAACTCTCTGGTTTATGTAAACACCACTTTTCTCACAGTGTCTCTCACACTGTGAATACAGATACACCACATTTAAGACAAAAGTACAAGAATCAGCAAAACATGCATAGTGATACTTGTCCAGTATACAGCATACTGGGTTTAAAAACACCGTCCCACATTGAAGCTACTTGAGGGGAAATTCAAGAGAA